GATGTATTTTGTCATATAAAAAAGTATACTAATCTATGATAAAAATACATTTCATAATGATTCTCTGTTTTTGCTCTGTTTTCCATTCTTACAAATATGCTTGGATATGCAAAAATGTTCCTGAAACTGTAAATAACCAGAGTAATGTTGGTTGTTGCTGCTGTCATTCTCTCTTCATTGCCTTTAAGATTTCTTTCCAAGAAAAGTACTTGCCAAAAGAAAAATGTAATTTGTTTGTCCTTGGCAACAGTGATTTGCCAACTTTTTATTTGAATATTTTTTCTCACTTCTTTGGGGACTTGCTCAGTTTTTTTTTTTTTTGGTGACCGAGTCTTGCAATTCGATTGCCAGGCTGGAGTGCAATGGCGCAATCTTGGCTCACTGCAACCTCTGACTCCCTGGTTCAAGCGATTCTCCTGCTTCAGCCTCCCACGTAGCTGGGATTACAGACATGCACCACCATGTCCAGCTAACTTTTGTATTTTTAGCAGAGACAGGGTTTCACCATTTTGGCCAGGATGGTCTCCATCTCCTGACCTCGTGATCCACCCGCTTCAGCCTCCCAAAGTGCTGGGATTACAGGCGTGAGCCACTGTGCCCGGCCGCTTAGTTTTCTGAAGTTGAAAATGAGGGCTGCCCAAAGCTCATGCCCATTCCAGGAAATTTGTTGCCTCTAAAATGTTTTTGGAATGAAACCTTTTCTATTTAGTCCTGTTGCCACAACCTAGATGGCACTCTCAGAACCTCATCTGGCACAGTATCTTGGTGGTGCTGCCTCTGGTCTTTCCTCCCTTCCGTCTGCTCTGTTTCATGCTACAAGAAGTGTCATCCTGGAACAATCTTCTTATCATGTCTTTGACATGCTTAAGGTCTAGATTCTTCCCTTACTCTCTGTTAACATTATCCAATCAAACTTCTCTGCCTAGGTTTCCCAAGAGAAACCCTTGACTCCAGTCATCTGGTTGCTACATGCTTCACGTTCTCTATAGTTGGAATGCCTTTCTCCTTCTCAAGGCTAATCCACAGTCTTCACACCTTAAGTCTCACCATCTACCAGAAGTCCACAGGGATTTTTCCTTTTCCTGAATTCTAATAACAGCATTCATTCACTTGTTCACCATGTATTGATCAACTAGCTTGTGCAAAGCCTTCTGGGCATATGGTGCTGAGGAAAGCCATTACAATCTTTGCTCTTTAATTGACTCTTAAATGCTGTAGTGGAGTAGTATCCAATTGTTTTTTATATAGATGACTTGACCTTCAATTGGCTTGGAAATTTCTTATTGTCAGGGACCATCATGATCTATAGTCTTACCAGTGCCCATCAAAGTGGGGCAGACAGAGTAAGCTGTTGTCTTGACTGGACAACTTCAAGGTCTACCCAATAAATAGAAGGGCAGATCACTCCATTTAGGTTTTCTTCACAATTTGATTACTTGAAATGCCTCTGTGAAACCAAAGAGCCCAACACTCAACTCAAAAGGATCCACATGCAAATTCCCTCTTTTATAGACTAGGCTTTGTCTTGGTTACTTTTTCAGAGAAATTTTTATTTAAATACATGATTTTCTATTCATCCTAGTAGCAAGTCTTTCAGGTGTTAGAGATTTAACACAAATGACTTCAATTCTTTAATGGAAAAAAGCCAAAAGGAAGGAGAAAAAAAAAATCTTTGTAGTTTCTATAAGAATTGTAATTTCTTAAAGATTATAGTAGTAGCAGAAAAATAAATAAATCACAAAGAGAGAACTCATACACCCCCAATAAGAAACAGTTATCAAATAATTAGAAAAAGATAAAAACAAGCTATAAACACTGCCTCAAAGCAGAATTAGAATTACCAAGTGTTCTCTGGGCTGGGAAAATGATGAGTCAGATTTTACTCACATAGGGGACATGCATCTTTGCCAAAATTCAGAATAAAGAGTATGAGTATTGCACAAAATTTGCCACCTGTAATTTCACTGTCAACTGACACTTTTCCCATTCCCAGCAGCTTTAAGTCTGCAGAACCATAAATCCCTAGAAAGACCTACAGGGCCACTCAAGATTCCCGAGCTTTGCTTTCAAACTGATGGTTCCCATGAGGTTCCACTGTGAAAAGAGCCATCCAGAGACTTTCAATCCAGGAGTCACTTAGTCTAATGAAAAACCTCTTTTATCTAAACCAGAGGTTCTTTGCTGAGGAGCAGTGGATTCCCCCAAGAGGATCAGGGATAGAGTTCAGGAGCTCCATGAATTTTAATGCAGGATTTTAAAAACTCATCTCTATTTTCATTAAGCTGTAACTGAAATGCAGGTTAAAACTAGAGAAGTAATAGCAGTCTCTGGCACATTTTCACCCATATAAATCACTAATATATTCTTACTACATTTCAGTTGTTATAAGTATTCCAAAGTATCACCAATACTTCACAATCACAGCAGTTCTTAGGACTGCCACTAAATTGTATTTAATATATTAATAAAGAGGCACATATGTTACTATTCCACTCGTTTGTTCTTTTAAAAATATTTTGATAATCATATATTTCAATATAATTGACTGTTTTTGTAATCTTATATATTTTATTTTATGCATTTAAAAATATGCTGAGAAAGAGTCCATAGACCTCAGCAGACCACCAAAAGCCAAGGTATCTGTGACATTAAAACAAAGTTAAGAGCACCTCGCTCAATTTTCATTTTTAACATTTGTTAACTGATCACATGGATTTAAAGAAATTGAGTAACAGGTATAGATCAGGGTATAGACTCAATGTGAAATCCTCAAACTCTTGGAATCATTGTATGCGCTACTCTTGGATATAAGTATCCATTTCATTAAATGGAAGAATAATACAAACTCCATAAAAATAATGTGTTATCATTTTACATAGTAGTAGCAATAATATTTTATATTGTTTTAAGTCTTCTACTATGTCCCTGCTGATTTTAATTGTTATAATCACCCTCAAGATAATACTATGACTTCTACGTTCTCATTTAATTGTCACACCTTTAAAGGGAACAAACAGATCAGAGTACATCGATGTTACAGATGAGAAAACTGAGACGTTCAAGAAAGCTGGAGGCCCCACAGTTGATCAGCATTAAAAAAAAAGATAATATTTTAATCTACACTTAACAAATGAGAAACAATCTCTGAAAGGTTAGGGAGGTTGCAGTAAGTGTCAGGACTGGGGTTTGGTCGGATTCCAAAACCTTGTGTATTTTGCATTGTGTCATGCTGCCTACCTCACTACCTCTTTATTATTGAGCTCACATAGATTGTTAGAAATGACAGCCTTGTGTGCCTCCCCCAACCCCAAGAAAACTGTACTCAGTTGAATCACAGGGTGTACTCAGGGAGAGGAAGATAATACATTTCCAAAACTTTAGCACAGCTCAGTCCACTCAACAGCCCCAAGAGAGGGGGCATGTCTTTGGGATATTAGCACTGCTTTCTCTTTCAGGCCCTGCCCACCTAGTCACTGATGAGTTCGAAGCCTTCTCCCTCATTGTTGAATCTCACGTACATAGCCATTCCCAGATCGCGATGTGTGTTCTGAATCAAGTAATTCGCTATGGAATGCAAATCATTATATCATATAGATGTGTTTTCAAAATCTGACTAATGGTCAATGCTTGTATCTTATTTCCCATTTATGGGAAGGTAGACTTTATCATTCACCTGTGTGATTTTGTGAGGCAGAGAAGCATTTTCTCTTCACTTTTCATTCTTTTTGCTTTCTAATTAGCTATTAAGCTGTTGCAGATTACAAATCAAGAGCATGATGGCTAATTCCATTAGAAGAGCAGGCAGTGGTGGGAGTCCTTGGCCTCTTAAAAAGTGCCAGGCTTTCCGGCACAGTGGCTCATGCTTGTAAATCCTAGCACTTTGGGAAGCTGAGGTGGGTGGATCACCTAAGGTCAGGAGTTCGAGACCAGCCTGGCCAATGTGGCAAAATCCTGTCTCTGTTAAATATACAAAAATTAGCACTGTGCGGTGTTGCATGCTTGTAATCCCAGCTACTAGGGAGGCTGAGGCAGGAGAATCGCTTGAACCCTGGGGGCAGAAGTTGCAGTGAGCTAGGATTGTGCCATTGCACTCCAGCCTTGGCAACAAGAGGGAAACTCCATCTCCAAAAATAAAAATAAAGTACCAGGCTTTGGAGGGCTTGGAAAAGTGTCCACAGAGTGTTCTCAGACTGCAAGCCCTCATATGGTAGTATGGGCTCATCCTAACTACCCTCCTTTTTTCTGGAAGCTGTCATTTTGGTCATTGTGGTACTACCATATTTAATCTGTTTCAACTCCAGTGAGATTTATAGTCTCTGATGTTGCTTTTAATTCTTCTCATGTGTTGCCCACTTATTTGCAAACTGGTCTTCTTAATCCATGTTAAACTCTGCATACCAATTAGTCTTTCATTAACTATAATAATGAAACTGTTACTTATAAAATCATGCATATTTAAACCTATTTTTTCAACTCATTTATTTATCAGATATCTTTTAAAAGCCTAGTTATGTTCAATTTTGCCTTGTTCCCCAAATCCTCACTCTCCTGTAACAGTTAATCTCCATTTAAATGTTTATAAAGGATTGTCCTTCTAGATATTTTGCACATTATTTTAGTGCTCCAGAGATAAAACCTAAAAGCAACAATAAACTCTGCAAATTTGGTTTCACTTCCAAACAATATGATTGCCTCCCCCACCTCACACACACTAAAAAAGCTTGATCCCAGTCAACTTTCTTCAAAATCTAGGCAAGTATTATTGAATTATTAATACTTTCACTTGAAATGTGTTGTAATTATGTGTTACCTTATATAACACTGTAGTATCTTTTAATTAACAGGTAGAGCGTTAACAGTAAAGTTAAACTGTTGAACATCTGCAAGAAGAGTTGAATTTACAGTTTTACTTTTCTTTGTCATAGTGGTTTAAGCAAGATCTGAGAGAACAACTGAAGTATAATACTTTCCTTCCTCCCTTTCTTGCCTTGTCTTTTCAGGCACTTCCACAACTTACAGAATCTTAGTTTGGCTTATTGCAGAAGGTTCACAGACAAAGGCTTACAGTACCTGAACTTGGGGAATGGATGCCACAAGCTCATCTATCTGGACCTCTCCGGCTGCACCCAGGTTTGTCTTTCAGTCTTCTCTTTGCTGCAGGGAGCGAGGAAGTTCTCCGAACGGGCTGCATTCAGCCCTCGCTTTATACTAATGCTGTGCACGGACTGCAGCACACTTTTCAGAGGTTTTAAATTACATGGCCCCAGCTGCTGAAATATTCCCCAGGATTGCTACTATAGGCTCTTGGCTTCCTTCCACTGGAGTGTCACACAGACAAACAGGCAGAGCTCATTGGATGAGGAAACAGACCACTTTTGTGGAGACAGTCTAAGCACAATTCTAAAGCAGAGTCCAAAACTTGAAAAGTCTGGAGTTGCTACCAAGACACAAACAAAGGAGAACGTTTTAGGGTAGAATTTTGCACAGGATTCCTGAAAAGTCAATTAACTTCCACATGGGTTTCTTTTTTTGGGTAAAATGCTACAAGTGATAAATAGGAAAAGAAAATGAAACAAAACATTGTAATTTTAAAAATTGCATTACACTCTTGGGCTAAATAACATGAAGATTTGAGATCTGCATGGGAAAATATTTTAAGTTTGAGGGAACAGGACTTGGAAAGTTGGGCAGAAAATTGGGTAAAGTTGCAGTGGATGGGACATGGCACTTTGGAAGTAGTTGCTGCCTCATTGATAGTTTATTCTGCTTTAATTTCAATAGATTTAAGCCATAATACTTTTAACTTATTTTCTGGCTGAAATAAGCTAGTTATTATTTATGGTTATTGTTTCTTGAGTCATTACTGTATGCCAAGCATTGTGTTGAGTGCTATACACAGATCAGATTTACTCCTAATACAATGCTGTGTGGTATGTATTTACTATGCTTGTTTACAAATGAAGAGACCAAGGCTCAGGGTGGTTGAATAAGTTGCCCAAGGTTGCACAGCTGGTAAAAGCACATGGCACTAGTACAGTATTAAGCATCCATTGGTAGACACTGGGGCAGGCAGAGTCCCCTGGGAGGGTGGAAAATACAGGGGCAGCACAGGTTTCTCCTTCAGGTTCTTGAAAGGATAGAATTCTTACCTAGTCACCACCACTGACATCCCGTGGTATCCTGATGCACTGGGTAGTTGGGAGGAAGTCGGGGCAAGGAGAGGGGGATTCTAAGTTAGGGCTGTAAACATCTAACATTAATATTTGTTTAAAACTGACCTACTGATGTATAGCTTTTTAAACATCAACATTTACCATAACTTTATGACTGAGATGGCACTGACATTCTCCTCAGCATGACTGAACTTTAGATGGGCTTCTTACTAACTGTAGACCCTGACTTCTTGTTTTCTTGTTTCTTAGAGCATTTGTTTTAGAAAACTTGGAATTGTAAGTTCTTTCTCTGCCTCCTTTGAGAGGTCTTTTTTAAAAAAGCTTCTTGACAGATTTATAACTCAGGAATGTCTTCCTCAAGGACCTGGGAGCTATCCCTTTGATATATAATCATCCAAGATAGCACCCCCAACTCTCAGTTCCTGTGGGAGGGTAGAAGCCTAACTTTGATGAGCCCCAATTAGCAAGCACAGATGGCCTAATCACAGAGAAAAATATTTGCAAATTCAGGAACAACTTAATGTGCTTGACATATCCCACTGATAAGCCTCCCTACTAACTATAAATCCTTCAGTACTTTTCTAACTCACCCCTGTGCTTAATCCCTCCTCATTTTTCTGTTTTTCAATCAACATGAGGCAGTTATTAGAGCAATAACACACAAATGCACACATAAGTGTCCTAAGGATAAATATTCTCAGACACATTTAAGTTTAAATCAGAGGCTTCAAATCTATGACCTACTGTGCATATATGCGTGCAAAACACAGATAATTGGAGGAGGCAGGGCAAGATGGCAGAACAGAAGGCTTCACCCATTGTCTGCCGCCCAAGAACAGCAAGTTAACAACTATCTACATAGAAAAAACACCTACATAAGAACCAAAAATCAGATGAGCACTCATTGTACCTGGTTTTAACTTCATGTGGCTGAGTCACTGAAGAGCTAGACACAACAGTCCTTAATCAGCAATGCCACCCCTCCAGCATGGTGCAGAGAGCCTCTCCAGGCACTCAGGGAGGGAAAACACAGCAATTGTGAGGCATTGAACTTAGTGCTGTCCTATTGGATCAGTGAGGAAAACTGGACCAAATTCAGCTGATCCCTACCCACAGAGGGAGCATTTAACCCAGCCCTAGACACAGGGGAATTGCTAATCCCAGCAGTCAGAACTTGAGTTCCTGCACATCTTGCCACTGAGGGCTACAGTGCACTGTCCCTCCAGGTAAGCTTGAAAGGCAGTCTAGGCCATAAGGACTGTAATTCTTAGGTGAATCCTAGTGCTCAACTAGGCCCAGAGACAGTGGACTGAGGGGCACATGACATACTGAGACACCAGCTGGGGCAGCCAAGGGAGTACTGGCATCATTCCCCGCCCGCAATCCTGCAAACAACCTGAAGCCACACAGCTCATTGCTTCAAATGAGACCCCTTCCTTTCCCTTGAAGAGAGGAGAGCGAAGAGTGGGGAGGACTTTTTCTTGCATCTTGGGTACCAGCTCAGCCTTGGCAGGATAGGGCAACAGTCAGAGTCATGAGGCCCTCATTCCAGGTTCTAGCTCCCAAGTGACATTTCTAGACACGACCTGGGCCAGAAGGGAACCTGCTGCCTTGAAGGAAAGAACCCAATCAGTCCTGACAACATTCATCACCTGCTAACTGAAGAGCCCTTGGGCTCTAAATAACCAACAGCAACACCTAGCTACTACATTGAGGGCCTTGGGTGAGCATGTGTGACTTGCAGGTTTCAGATGAGACTCAGCACATTACCAGCTGGAGTAGCTATGGGGCAAAACTTCTTTTGCTTGAAAGGGAAAATCAGTGGGATCATTGTCTTGAACCTTAGATACCAGCATGGTCACAGCAGGGTAGAGCACCAAGGGAGACTCTTGGGGTCCCTGATTCTAGGACTTGACTCTTGTATGGTAATTCTGGACCTTCCCTGGGCCAGAGGGGAGCCCATTGCCCTGAAGGATGAGTCCCAGATGAGGTAGCCTTCACCACAAGCTGCCTTAAGAGCCCTTGGTCCTTAAGAGAATGTCATTGGTAGTTTGGCAATACTCTTCATGGCCTGGGGTGGTGGTAGCTACAGGATAAGGCTTCTCTGCCTTCAGAAAGGGGAGGAAGAGTGGGAAGGACTGGATCCTGTAGTTTGAGTGCCAGCTCAGCTTCAGTGCAATAGAACACCAAGTAGACTTCTAAAGTTTTTGACTCTAATCCCTGATTCCCAGAGGGCACTAAATACTCACCTGGGGCCTGGGGGACCTCAGCACCCTGAAGAGAAGGACACAGGCCTGGCTGGCCTTGCCACCTGCTGATTGTAGAGCCCTAGGGCCTTGAGGAAACAATGGCAGTAACCAGGAAGTGGTTATAGCAGGCCTTAGCAAGACCTACTGCTGTTATAGCTTCATGTCTGACCCAATGCAGTCATAGTGGTGGAGGCCATAGGGGTGCTTGTGTCACTCTACCACAGCTTTGGGTGGCTCAAAACAGAGAGAGAGACTTTGTTTGGGAAACAGTAAGGGAAGAGAATAAGAGTCTCTGTCTGGTAGTCAAGAGAATTCTTCCAGATCTTGTCCAAGACCATCAAGGTGGTACCTGGACAAGTGTACAAGAACCACAGCATTACTGGGCTTGGGGTACCCCCTAAAGCAGATACAGCTTGGATCACAACACTCAAGTCCTTACAAATATCTGGAAAGCCTTCCCAAGAAAGATGGCTACAAATAAGCCCAGACAGTGAAGACTACAATAAATACCTAACTGTTTAGTGCCCAAACACTGAAGAATACTAATGTTAATACCATCCAGGAAAACATGACCTCACCAAATTAACTAAATAAGGTATCAGGGCAATCCTGGAGAAACAGATATATAATCTTTCAGACAGATAATTCAAAATAGCTATGTTGAGGAAATGCAGATGAATTCAAGATAACACAGAATAAAAAGAAGACAGCGGGAGGCATCACACTACCAGACTTCAAACTATACTACAAGGCTACAGTAATCAAAACAGCATGGGACTGGTACCAAAACAGAGATATAGACCAATGGAACAGAACAGAGGCATCGGAGGCAACACAACATACCTACTACCATACAATCTTTGATAAACCTGACAAAAACAAGCAATGGGGAGAGGATTTCCTGTTTAATAAATGGTGTTGGGAAAACTGGCTAGCTATGTGCAGAAAGCAGAAACTGGACCCCTACCTGACACCTTACACTAAAATTAACTCCAGATGGATTAAAGACTTAAACATAAGACCTAACACCATAAAAACCCTAGAAGAAAATCTAGGCAAAACCATTCAGGACATAGGAGTAGGCAAGGGCTTCGTGACCAAAACACCAAAAGCATTGGCAACAAAAGCCAAAATAGACAAATGGGACCTAATCAAACTCCATAGCTTCTGCACAGCAAAAGAAACAGTCACTAGAGTGAATCGGCAACCAACAGAATGGGAAAAAATTTTTGTAGTTTACCCATCTGACAAAGGGCTGATATCCAGAATTTACAAAGAACTCAAACAGATTTACGAGAAAAAAAACAAACAAGCCCATTCAAAAGTGGGCAAAGGATATGAACAGACACTTTACAAAAGAGGAACGATCCAAGATGACCTATGCTAACATGTCGGGATTGCAGCTCCCAGCGAAAGCTCAGACAATGAGAGGACGCCACACTTTCAGACAAAATTTGGTCGCTCACGGAGCAGAAGATTCCCAGTGGAGGAGTTCCATGGGTCGCCAGCGCAACTCTTATGGCCGGCACAGCGGTTTCATCGGCACCTCGGTGCAGGAGCTCTCGGTGCAGAGTAAATGGGACTGGTTCCTCTCCTGACCGAGGTTTGGAGGAGCCACCCAGGTCACCAGTGCGACTCTTGTGGCTGGCACAGCAGTTTCACCGGCACCTCAGCACGGCAGCTCTTGGTGCAGAGTAAACGGGACTGGTTCCCCTTCTGACGGAGGTTTGGAGGAGCCACATGGGTTGCCAGCGTGACTCTTGCGGCCGGTGCAGTGGTTGTGCCAGCACCTTGGTGCGGCAGCTCTTGGTGCAGAGTAAAGGGGACTGGTTCCCCTTCTGACTGAGGCTTGGAGCTCCAGGAAGGC